ACCTGTTGCGGCCGTTGTAATTTACAAGTCTCTCCTACATTGGCGGTCATTTGAAGCCGAAAGGACTAATGTCTTTGACCGGATCATTCAAACTGTTGGAGCTGCAATTGAAGTACGTTTCTGTTGTTGAGTGGCCTGATCTTTATGTTTTCGACAACGGTACTGCAGAGCCAAGAAAACAATGACGTGTTGGCGTACTGGCTGTCTAACACGTCTACATTGTTGTTCCTACTGCAACGCACACTCAAGGCCAGTGGTTCTGGTCCTCAAAGAAGACGTGCACCATCTGTTACACTGTTTGGGAGGATGACTCAGGTTACAATACCTCTCGACTTGAACCGCTTATTGACAACTTTTTGTTTCAGGGTTTTATTAAATCATCTCCAGGATCATTTGGCAATGGGGGGCTAGATGCGTCTCGACAAGTGGAAGCCAAGTACCCCGCTTTGCTGTTCAAGCAGCAGCTTACGGCTTACGTTGAAAAGATCTACGGAATACTGCGTGACAACCTGAAAAAGGAAATAACGTCATTGCTCGCACTTTGCATTCAGGTGGTTTTACTACCTTTCCAGATAGATTTGTGCTAAAGTTCTATTGCAGACCCCAAGAACTGCGCGTTCTTTAGGCAAAGCGGGAAGGTCTCCAAATATGGCCTTGGCAGCGCAACAAATGTTGAGTCACTGGCACAGTATAATCAAGAGTTTGACCGGTCTGCTCAACACGCTGAGAGCGAATCATGTGAGAAAGGGGCAATTTATCGTTTAGTTTCTAATTTTCTTCTTTCAGGCTCCACCGTTTCTTGTTCGAAAGCTGTTCACGCAAATATTCTCGTTCATTAATGTTCAGCTCTTCAACAGGTAATCTGCTAGCTTCACACTAAGGTTGTGTGTTGACGTTTTGTACTTCCAGTCTTCTTTTGAGGCGGGAATGCTGTTCGTTTTCAAATGGAGAGTATGTCAAAGCTGGTTTGGCAGAGCTGGAACACTGGGTTTATGAAGCCACCGAAGAGGTGAGGACGTTTTACGGGATTCGTTTTGGGTGTGTAATACGGACCTTTCTGTGCAGTACGCTGGTGCATCTTGGGACGAATTAAAATACATCCGCCAAGCGGTTGGTTTCTTGGTAAGCTACTTACAAGCTCACAGAACTTTTTCTAAGACAAAATTTACCAGGTCATTCATCAAAAGCCCAAAAAGTCACTCGACGAGATTACACATGACCTCTGTCCGGTAACATAAAGACATACAATGTGTAGGATCGTGAAATATTATCGCTGATGTGCAGGTATTAAGCATCCAGCAACTGTATCGTATCAGCACCATGTACTGGGATGATAAATATGGCACCCACAGCGTTTCTCCAGAGGTGCGTGGGTATTGTTATTGTTTCCCTTGTAACACGCATGGGTGCTGGTCGCAGGTTATTGCAAATATGAGAGTTCTTATGACTGAAGACTCCAACAATGCTGTGAGCAACTCCTTTTTGCTGGACGATGATTCAAGGCGAGCATGCGAATTCTGTCTGAGGCATATAAAATTCTGATGAATGTTTCTTCTTCGTTTGCTTCAGCATTCCATTTTCGGTTGACGACATATCCAAGTCGATGAAGGAGATGGACCTCAACGACATCGATCTGCCACCGCTTTTGAGAGAGAGCAATGCATTCCATTTTTTGCAGCCTCAGTCGGAATGAGCAACACAGCTCGTCTTCGAAGGCCAGCAACAAAAGCATGCTTGAAGCTTCGATTTCAGCTCAAGCCAGGTTCCTCTCAACACTATTCTTTTTCATTCGGATTGATTCTTTATACACAGGTAAAAGCAAAAAAGTTGAAAAAAGAAAATCAAAACCAAAAAAAAAAAAAGGCAAAGAGAAGCGGAACATTGTACATTCATCTTTTCATATTCTTGATGGTGTTGTATTGAAAGGACTGTAAAAAATACAAGGAGATGCACTTTTGTAGTTTGTGATGGACTTTTACTTGATGAGTCTTTTCTCGACCAAGTGTTTCTCAATCTCTTTCCAGATTCTTACGTAGGCTGCGGGGCGGAGAGGAGGAGCGGAGCCGAGTGGCACACACTCAATCTCCCAAACGACCACACTCTTGCTTGGCTCGCTTTGAATCGGATGGAAACGCAGCGTACCAACGTAGTGACTGTACAAGTGACTAAAGTCACAGTTTTCCAGCATAGTGTATCGAATCGTCATGGAAGCATCATCGACCAGTTTCAGTCTCTCTTTCGCAAACACCACCTTGGAGCTTCCATCTTGCTCTGCAAATCCAGCAAGCCATTAAGCGTGGATCATCAAACTTGAGAGTTGCTACGTACTGAGGCCAACAAGCCTGATGGTACCAGCTTCGCCGCCTCCCACCAGATACTCCACGCTCTGGATCACACCAGGAATGATGCCCGCCAGCGATTTGGCATCCTTGAACGTTTGCCACGCCTCCCACGCTGAAACGTCGAGCTCAACTTCAGCCCGGCACACCTCCATAGCTGCAAGAGGAAAGCACTTTGCCAACACAAAAAGAACTCACGCAAACAAAGAGCCAAATCGCAAATATGCTCTTGGATGGATAGATCAGACAAAACAAAGTCCCTGTAGCTCAAAGCTCGGTCTTCATTTCCTTCAAGTGGTCCGCCAAGAGTCCGGTCTTATGGTTGTCAAGCAACACTGGGAAAAGAGTAGCAGCAAACTTAGGAAACAGAATGCAAGCTTGGAACTAGAGAAAGAACTCACACTCCGCTCCTCCGTAGTGCATTCCATTGACAAACACCTGTGGAGTGATCCAGTAGCCGAGCCACCTCCGGAGAGCTTTTTGTATCATCCATGCTTCGTCTGGAAAGCAAAAGCAAAGAGATGAACGAAAGAAAGAAAAGAGAACAGAGGAGCTACCTGATTTCGTGTGGTCGATGTCAATGAAATGCGGCTTCTCTCCTTGCTCCGACATCGCCGCTTTCACGCGATTCGTCATCCTAAGTGGAAGTTCTCACTTCCTCAGATCAAGGAAACAGAGCCTTTTCATTCCTTTAAGCTTGCTAGAACTTGCGTTTGTGATGTAAGCTTACGTGCAATCCTTTTTCCCGACGATGACAACCCTGTGCTGCGCCACCAGATCCATAAACTCATCCAGCGCTCGATTCAGCTCCGGATCGCTCCTGTCCTTCTCGCGATCCACAGCGCTCTCATCCAATCCATGCCTCGGCGTCGCGCTTCCAATCCTCGCGACTACCAGCGCAGCGATCACGAATCCCAGCACCAATCTCATTTTGACCTACAACCAAACTAACCGATCCTTTCCCTTTACTCAAGTCTAATACAAAAAAGATTCTCAAAAACGAATTAGGGCTTATGCGAGAGTGAGAAAGCTCTCCCCTTTTCCTCTCTGCCCCGATGCGGTGCTTCACCAGCGATGCTTGTGGCAGCTGCAGCACAGGTAGGTAAGCACTCTTCTCAGTCGCGCTCCACTCCACTTCACTCCAATTCCACTCCATTTCCCAGGTTTTGGGGGTAAGACTTGCTGGTTTCTAGCTCACACCCTCGGTGTGGGGCTGCTCATCCTTCTCTACGAGGAATTGCAACACCAGATCTTCTCCTACACTTGGTAAGCCTCAAAAACGAGATCCCTTTTTGTTTTTGTGCACTCTTTCACTGCTCATTCGTTGACACTCTCACTCTCAGGTATGCGTTGCTATATCTCGTCTTGATCGTTGTTACTGTCATCCAGTACTACCGGGTTGCTGGTTCGTCACCGGGGTAAGCAAAAAATCCTTGCGAGATTCTTGTCACGATTTCAGTGATTGGAAGCTACGTGGAGGATCTGGAAAACGATCCAGAGTTCGAAGCGGGAATTAAAGCTGTAGCCGGCTCCACTCCATTGTGAGTTTTCCTTTTTGTTTTCTCTTCGCTTACATTCTTTCCTCATTGATTGCGACTGTCAGTTCTCACTGCAGTACCTGTCGCGTTGTCCAGGTAAGAAACCAAGTTCTTCTAACCTATTCTTGATAAAAATCCCATTTTGCTTTGTTTTCTTCCATTGCAGCCCCCAAGAACAAAACACTGCCACGATTGTAACAAATGCGTGCTGAGATTTGATCATCACTGCGTCTGGCTGGACACTTGCATCGGACAATACAATCATCGCAGATTCTGGTACGTTTCACAGGCTCCTTGTGTTCATTGCGTCCCAGATTCTGACTGGAGCACGCAGGTGGTATGTTTTTCTGGAGACCTTTTTGTGCATCTGGTCGACAGTCCTCTACTTTCTTGCCTTCCACTTGGAAAAGAGCTCGGCATGGTAAGTGCCCTCTTGTCGTGCGTTTGGTTTGCAATTCACACTTATTTCGCTCCACAGGCCACAGAATCTGCTGCTGCTGGTGATGTTCGTGGGCCTCCTCTGTTGTTCTATATTTCTTGCCACCCTGCTCGTTTTCCACAGGTAAAGATAGAAAAAAAGAGTGATCGCTAACTTCTGTTTGCAGTTATCTGGTGCTTACAAACCAAACGACGTATGAGAAAACACGTCGCACACGAATTCCATACCTCCGGTGAGCAGGAATCCTCGTAACGCAGCTCACAAAGACTGGGTTTTTGCAGCAACCTTCCGAAGGATGCGCACCCCTTCAGCAAAGGAGGTTGTGGAAATGTAACCGAGTTTTGCTGCGCGTCGCAACCGTATCGTTTCTACAATCTTCCTCCCGACCATGAAGCTGCTGGCCCTTGCCTCGCTGCAAGGAACGCAACCGAGTCGACAACCAAGTCTACCAAGTGCTGCTCGTGGTGGCGATGAGACATTGGAAGCCGCCGCCATTTTTATTTTTTTTCCTCTCTCGTATTGCGCGCTGTGTACCATTTCCTGGGTGTGTAAATAGCTTTCCTAGTAGCTTTTTCCTCTCATATATTAAAAATGTAACATGCTGGCTTGTACGAAACGTCTACGGATTGTCATGTCGTTTGGACTTCCATAACAAACTCCCATCTTTCTTTCATTTGAAGAACATAGAAAAGGAAAATCTTTGCCAAGAAATTTTGAGAAGAGTAATGGTTAAAGAGTAGCGTGAGTGACAGACACTCAAGAGCTACGTTAAAACGCTGGGATGGCCGCGTAGAAACACATTCCAGTGGTGATGGCAGCAACCAGCACGAGCACGGCAGCCGCCAGCTTGTCTTGCGTGATCTTCGTCTTCCATCCGCCGTCGTTTCCCCGAGCCTTGTTCTTGGTCGTCGTCTTCTTCTTTTGCAGCGGCTCGTCCTCTGTGGGAGCCATCTTTGTTGCTTGTCCGTCCTCCGCATTGTCTTGAGCATCCCCTCCTCCTTTTGCTTTAGCCGCGACAGTGACGCTTCTCGCGTTGACAGCACGCTTCTGTTGCTTGGCTCCGCAAACGCCTCCTATCACGCCACAGGGACAGGCGTACACTGTCTCGTCCGCGGTTTGCCTCGAAACTTGAGACTGGCGCTGTTGATCCTCGGTGAGGCCCATTTGACCCCTGCCAAAAGGAGTAAAAACCAGGATCAAACAACACCAACAACGTAGTAACACTCACCTCCACAGCTTGTCAACTATCTGGCCTCTCTCTATGTGCTGCTCCAGGAGCACCGAAACATCGTTGGGAGTGACATATCCATACCTGCGTTGCAAAGAGAACGAGTCAGATTTGAAACTAAGAAAAAGTGAGCGAGGACTTACCAGTGCCCCGAGACTGGACCGCCTCCTCCGCTAGCGGCGTAGACGATGACATTGCCAGCGAATTTGTGACCACCAATGTGGGAGCAAGCCTTGACTGTGACACGACCAGTCAAGCCCCTGGCTTCAATCTCGTCCCGGAATTTGTCGACCAGAACCGGGCCGCAGCTTCCGCAGCGTGCGTCGCGAGCTCCGTGAGCGCAGATGAAGACATGGCTGCCACTGAGAGGCTCCTCGACACCATGGCTCCATATCTGCTCATTGACCACCACTTCCTCCACAAATGATTCCGCGTCAGAGGCTCTCAAACCTCTGCAAAAACGAAATACTAAAGTCAGTGCATGCAACTTTGGATCCAGATAGAAAATAAAAGAAACAATGCCCGAAACCTGTAGCGCACGAGATCTGGAAAGACAAGAATGTCTCCCTCCGTTGAATCAGATGCTTCACAAACAGTCAACCGGATCTGCAAGAACACGCGAGAGAGGAGATCAGACAAAGAAATCCTGTTTTAAAAAGAGCCAGCAGCACCTTGTTGGGCATATCGTTCTTGCGAGCCTTGAACGCAGCGAAGAGAGCGTGCGGAAGGCCACCCAATTCCGCACTCTCCACCTGCGACGGCCAGCTGAGAGCATCCTTGTAGCACACGAACAAGTGCCTCTGGTAGAAAGACACGCTCCCCGCCAGCGGGGACTTGTACATCTCGGGCCTGTCGAAGCCGGTCGACGCTGGCAATTGACTCGACGCCGCCATGTCTCTCTTTGCTGCTGCTGCCGCTGGCGGTGGCGGTGGTAGCGCCCTACTAGCCGAGCAAGCGCTAAAAGGTTGAACGAGGCGATGAAGAAAAACTGGCACCTTCACCTTTTTCATATGTTCATAATGTACGGACCACCTTGATTCTTGGGCTGCTACGATCCAAACACGCAATTCCCCTCGGCTCTGCTTCTGCTGGATGATGCTGATTGCCACTAACCTTCTCCAGCGTTTTTATTTCTTTTTCTTCCGGTTGCACCTCCTCCGACCTGCGTATTTGTGCGCTGCTATGCTAGGACTCGGGGATTTGAGGATTTGGAGCCTTGTCCCTGTGCTGTGACGATGGCGAACCCTGTGCCTGTTTCTACTTTAGGACGCCGAATACTCGAGCAGTAGCCTGTTGTCAACCGAAGGAATTGACGAGAAGACGAGGCGCAACTTGTTGTTGAGATGATAGATCAGTGTCCACTGCGTCGCCATTTCCGACTCCTTCAATTGTCGCACCACTGATGCCTGCGCAGTGAACGAATGACACACGTCTTCAGGAACGAGGAAAACGTTTATAAAACGACACCAACCTGTAGATGCTTGCCGAGTCGCACTTCAACTTCCGTACCGAAGGAGAGGTTTGCAAGCGACTTGAACGGGTCTGTTGTAGGATCCAGGGACAGGAGGTTTGGAATCTGCGGTGCGTAAACAAGCCGCCAACGAGCCTGTCCAAACTCTCCTTTGGTTTCTATCTTCGGCATGAGTGTCTCGACCGTAGCAGCCGCAAGCTTCTTGAAAGCAAACTGACCGTTGCCTTCGAGCAGCGAATCCACAAGTTGATTTTCAAACAGCTTAGCGGCCTGCACGATCGCACGCATCAGCGAGATAAATAATATACAATAGAAGCTTACTTCAATACGAGTCAATGTGTCTTGTTCTCCAGAGCGAGCATAAGTCAAAACAATGCTGTCCTGCCAATTTTGTGCACGCCCTTGAACTTTCAGCTGGAAATGCAAACCGACCAATGCTAAATCCAAGTTAGGATCGAGACCCTGTTCCGGTTCGAACTTGGCACGGTTTGGATAATCCTTGTTCAATCTCACCTGAAACACATCATTAGCGGTGCAAGAGACAGCTTAGCTTACCTGAGTAGCAACAAGGTTTACATCACCGTTCTCAAACGTCAGCACTCCCTTGGGCTTGACACGTTCGGAATCAGCAAATCCATGAAACTCCAGCTCTCCATTTACCGCGAAATTCAATATCAAAGGGTAAACCATTCGCAACTCAGGTCCAAATTGCAGCTTCAAGCCTTTCAAGCGTACGGCCACTGGCAGTTTACGTTCGTGGCTTTCTTCTTTGACCAACTCGAGATCTGAAAATTATGTCAGCTATATACGTCACAAAACAGATCTACAGACCTGACAAAGCACGAGGGATAGTCGAGGTTGCCGCCTTCGAATTCTTTTCTTGAGAAAGATACAGTTCGCCCCGACTGAGCTTGACGACACCTGTAAGTTCGGGATCTGAAAGGCTTCCCATGACAGATAGCTGTCCATCTACTTGTCCACTACACACAGATGCGCCATGTGAACTTCCTGACGCCTAAAAGCATTACATACCTCAACATATTTTTTGCACGGACCTCCAGAGAATCGGCTTTCACTTCCAAACTGCAGTCACTGCTATCGACAGCAGCTTTCAAAGGTAGTTTACCTTTAATCAAAAGCCTTCCTCTCTTCCCAACTTTGCCTTCGATAGCATCAACAATCAGCTCATTATTCTTCACGGTGACAGTTCCGCCAATATTATGTGCTGGTTTTGGTAGTATAGGGGACGAGACAGTCGCTTTGTGAAAGACAGCCATTCCATCAAACTTCGGTTGCTCGGATGCCCCTCGAACCTGCTCTCAGAGTAAAAGAGTGAAACCGAGAAAGAAAACGAAAATACCTGAAGCCTCACGTCCGCGTTTCCTTGGAGCCATTTCATATTTGGTGTAATTGTTGTCAGCAGCATCATCCCACTGTCCTTGACAACAACGTCAACGTATAAAGCTCCTGCATCGATGAAATCCCACTCCGATGATGTACTATAATCAGTTTGCCCCTCACTGTTGCCATGGCCCCTGTTGTTGATACTAGCGCCCATCCACCTTTTCACAGCAGCATTTCTCGACTTCGACTGTGGATCTAAAGCCTTGGACCCCAACGGTATACTGCCTCTCACGTAGACATGGCCCGCATGCACGACAGGTTCAAGTCGAGCGTTGAAAACAAACTGGTTCCCGGATGTTACCGATGCAGCCAAGTCCGCCTTGCTTAAGTTGATACCGCCAATAGCCCCGTCGAGCAATCTTACGTGAACATCACATTCTGGCTTGTTGCAATCTCCTCTGAGGTCCCCTTCCATATGCAGGACTCCGTTCAATGGAGCATGCGGTGCCGAAGACTGGAGAGGTTCGACAGAGGACGATTGGATGGCTTGCATCAGGGGCGGCACAAGCTCCACAGGGAAGTTCAAGAGAGCAAAATGCAGGTTCGAATTTGGCCCGAGCATCCCATCGGCATGGAGTGTTGCAGTATCCTTCTGTAAGAAGACCTTCTCAAGCCGGAGACCGTCCGTGTAACAGTAGCTTCCAGTCGCCACAGCACTTTGAATGTTATATACACCCCATTCCCAGTTCTCGCCGTGAAGATCCAAACTTGCCTGTACGTAATAGCATTTTAGACTATGGTAAACAACTCGCACTGACGATCTTACTGTCATGTCACTGTTTCCACCGCCGCTTGCTTCAAATGTACCATGCCAACGGCCATTCAATTCTGCAAGACCCGGCAAAGGCAACGAATCTGCCGAGCTTCGATCTTGAGGAGACGTAGCGCTTTCTTTCTTTAAAAACTAAAAGATCCACCACAAACACGACAGTACGTAAACAAAACAAACAAACGAAGAAAAGCAAACAAGGTACCTCCATTTGCTGTTTCAAACTGTGTGCAAGAAAAGCAGCCTTTTCCACCTCTTGTAAAAACAATTCCTAGCATCACAAAGCAACGTCACTACGGAGATGGTAAAAAACATATAAATACCTTAGATCTTGTTACAATTGCAGGGTCGCTGCTCCTAGACAGAAGACGAGCAACAGGTAGCATATCCGACAGCTCCGCTCTAGGTACTTCCAGACGAAGCCTCCACCTCCCTAAGGAGCTGATGGCATTTTCAAGATGTCCTGCCATCAACTTCTGCCACATTCCGTCACTCAGGTGTCTTTTGTTGCCCGATGCGACAGCCTTTTCACGAGGGCCTGGCAGCACGTATTCACCCCGAAGCTCGTATGTGCTGTCCGCTTGTTCAAGCAGAGATTTCTCCAACGTAACCTTCAAGGTGAATGCATGATAAAAACAAAGGGGCATTAGCCAGTATGCTTACCACGTCGCCTGACCACCGGGCTGATACATCAAGAAGCTCGCCTTGCATGCCACTAAACCTTGGTCGTCCGACTGACAAGCAACCATGGCCCCTTCGCTTGTCAAGGTTAAGTTGTATATCAACCTGTAGCAGCATTGTAATGAGCATAGTAACGTACTGACTGCATCGTACCTTGTGCATCATACCCCTCAATGACGATAGCTCCAACTCATCCAGTGGAAGATTACGGATCTGAAAATAAAGCACTTGATTAAAACGTTGCACACAAGGAGTCAGTATCTTACCTCTAACTTTGCCAAAGAATGCGGCGAATGAGAAGCATCAACTTGAAGTTTGCCTCTCTGCAACGAAAACGACGATGGCTCATGACCATTTTTTGATAATTGAACAGTAAGATGCTCCTTTCCTCTTCCACTTGTAATCAGCTGCACAAAATGTTAACGCAAGGGGAAAAATCTGAGGTATGAACTGGTTTACCTTAAAGCCAGATCCTGACACGTCTAGCAATCCGCTCGAATGAGAAGCAACTAGAAGTTGATTCAACTTCAATCCCGAAAGAGAAACGTCACCAACCAGCCCAGACATCTTAGTATCTTTGTCGGAAACAAAACGGCCCTGGAATTTAAGCTTACAGGTGGCCTTCATTTGTGTACTGTCAGGTGAAATAGAAGGCGCAGAAGGTAGGAAATCCAGTATATCAAATCCTCGAAATCGTGCGTCGAGCTCTAAGCCTTCTAGAGTCGGTATACTCTTATTTTTTCTGACTGCAACCGGTACCGTAGACATCTTAGAATTCACGTCAAAAGTAAATGAAGAGGAATTTAAGACAATGGCTTCGTCCGATATAGAAATATCCCCTCGTGATCCGGTGAATGATCCCTTTGCATCCGGCATAACCCATTTGATGTCAAATACCCTGTAAAAAACGTAAAAGTCATACTTTCCGTATGAGTGACACTTACGGCATTTGAAGTGATCCACGAACTTTAGCTTCCCCGTGCATCGCGCCAAAAAGCGGCAGTTTCATTTCATTAGTTGTGTAGCTTCCAATAATATCATTGATCATCACGTATCCTGAACAATCGATCCTTATGGCCGTTGGATCAATTTCGCCCTGATTTATTACAAGTGTGAAAGTTGAAATGAAAATGCAATACTGTTACCTCAGGACAGATCCACATATCGCCCGCACCGCGAATCTCTCCTCCACCGACTGGCGTCGCTCTGATTCCATATATGTTTGCCGTCTGTCAAGATGAAGAGCCAGGTTGAGAAAACAAGTGCTTGCAAATACTCACGGCACCATCGGTATCGAAAGTAAAACTTCCAGAAGCCATCGTAAAAGCAACGTTATCGTAAGCAGCTGCTGCACCTTTGTGAAGGTTGTTTCGGATTGAATCGATAGCTTTAGAAGGCGATGCATTGAATGTCAAATCCGTTCGGTTCTTTAACGTTTCAGCACTTCCTTCAAATATTGGCGCATCCAAGGGTCCACGACAGTACACCACAGCCTTGACGGCGCCAGCAACCTTTGATACATCCATGTTATAACATACCAACAGAAAAATCTATTCCAAGCTTACTGGAAAAGGAGGCGGACGGACTTTGAGTGTGGTCATAAGAGAGTTCACTTCCACTCCAGGAACCTGCAAAAAAGTGAAAATAGATAGAAACTTATTAGTGGTGCCAAAATACCTGACAGCTAAGACGAAATTCTCCATTTTCAGGATTTACGTCCATGTCTCCTGAAACATTGACGGGAATTTTACCATATAGACCACTAGTATTGTGAAGGAAAGCTCGCTGCCCTTGTAGAAATATTGTTCCATTTACTTCCTGAAGGTAGATAATTTTAGGAAAAAAGACGAAGAAAAAGAAAGAAAACTCCTCATGAGACAGGAACACCACCCTTACCTTACCTTGAATGCAGCTGGAGCTTCCACGATTTTGAAGCTGACATTCTTTATATCCACCTTACCACCAAGTTGAGGAAAATTGTCTTCATTGTTCATTCTAACGTGAACCTACGTTGCAAAAAAAAACAGGTCAATGAGCTGGCATATGATCGGGCACTACCTCTCCGTGTGCCGTTCCACTATAAAAATCGATTGGCAGCTCAAGCAACCTCTCTACAAGCTAAGGGAAGCACACGCGTCAGGACAAAAACAAGAAAACGCAATGGACTTACTGGAACAAAAAGATTTCGAGCTTTGATCTTGACGTCCCATTGTTGCTGTTTAATGTCAGAATGGACGACCACATTTAGCAACCCTGCATCATGCTCTGACGCGGGTCGTCTCCAAACTTTCGGAACACCAGACACTTGCGCGTCTATAACTTGGTAGTCACTAGCAAAGTCGACACGCCCATTAAACTGATCCAGGACTCTAAGTCAAGATCAAAAGAGAAAGCGTCAGCAGCATTAAAAGAAAAAAATAAAGTGCCGTTTCTCCTACCTTGGTTCATTGTCGCCAAACGCAAGTAGTAGAAAGGTTCCATCTCTGATGTAAACAGACTCAATGGTCACGGGACTTGTGCTCGACTTTCCGTCCTGCTGGAGATCGTCAACTGCTGCTGCTGTGGACGATTGCCTCGTTAAGTCAACAGCATTACTGTTCCGGGCTCGCTCAAACTCTGTAGTCTTGTAAGATTGCGACATCGAGGGTGGAATACGGTGGCTGCCAACCGGAGCTCCGCCTGTCTTCTGGAAAAACGTGCGAGCTTTTGCAGCGCTAGCTCGAAGATTCTTTTTCTGGAAGTAAGCCTTGTCCGACGCTGACGAAGTTTGCCTAGGCAAGTGTTCCTTCACCCACGATTTTGCACCGTGCAAAGGCCCCCTCATAGCCGCAGTGCCATCTTCTCCCACTGCTATGTTCCCTGCTTCCAAGTTATCGTTTCCAAATGCTGCCGGCCTGTACCCAAGGTTGGCCGAGCGTCGGGCCGCCTTGATCCTCTCGTCAGCCTGCTTGAGCGCGCTCGATTCCCTGGCAAGCCGCCGGATTCGTGTCCTCGAATCCACAGTCTCGTCATTACCACCATCATGTAGCAACCTTTTGATCTTTTCGGGAGGAACCGCTGGAAGCCCCAGCCACGTCCAGTCCTGCCTTTGTGCTACGAGCAAATGCGGGTGACTTAAGATCAAGTCTGCCGCGAGCTGGCGGCGCTGGAAGCTACGAACCGGATTTATGCGGATGGTTAGAACCGGAAGTTGCGCGCATGAAAAGTCCTGGTCGTGAGGCCCAATGGAGCAATCTCTAAGGCTGATTCCCAGCGGCGAAAGCCCAGCCACTTTTCCCAGCTCCACTTGCCTGGAAAGCCGCTCCCCAAGCAGCATCGCGATCGGTGGCAAGAGCTTTGTCTCGATGTAATCCTGCGCTAGACCTCGAATTCGCAGCGCCACAACCCCAGACAATATCGTGACGATCACCACTGCTACTGACCTCGCAATCAGGCGCAGCAATCTGGCGCTGCTGCTCCCTGCCGCTTGAGACGATCCGGGGCGCCATTGCCAGAATTCACTGCCGCTGCTGTTGCCGGCGAGGATGCTCCATTTTCTTCTCCGATGGGGCCATAGCCAGCTCCGGAGCTTGGATTTCGGCAGCAGGCAATGCGGCGGACGATCGATTCTTCTTCTTGGAGGAGTGATCGGAGGAGATAGCGCTGCCGTCGCGGATGCCCAGCCATGGAGAACCATCCGCGCTCCCCCGTTAGGGCAGGACTCGAACCCTGGCCAAATGCCAGTGTGGGCTTTATGAATGAGAAAATGGAGAGTGTTTGTTTTTATTTAGGTCTCAGATCCATGGAGGAGCATGGCGGGGGAGGATGAGCGCGCAATTGGATTTGCGCAGCTCCTAGGTCACTAGATCGCGTCGCTAGGGTAAGCTCAGAGCTATGGCCGGTGGATCTAAGACGATTCGCAAAGCTCTCGGCGCGCTCAAGGATTCCACCAAAGTCGGCCTCGCCAAGGTTAACAGCGAATTCAAGGTACTGTTCTTGCGGTCTCTCCGATTGATCGATGCCGATTTCTCTCCTCCCAGGACTTGGACATTGCAGTGGTCAAGGCGACGAATCATGTCGAGTGCCCTCCCAAAGAGAAGCATGTCAGAAGTAAGTGAGATTTAGCCATCAAGTTCCTTAGCATGAATTGGATTGTATCATCTCAATCGATTTCTTTTTTCTTACTCGCCGCAGCGATCTTCCTTGCCACCTCGGCCGCCAGGCCCAGAGCAGACGTTGCCTACTGCATTCACGCTCTTGCCAGGCGCATCTCCAAGACCCACACTTGGACCGTAAGTAAGCTCGTAGTTGAGAAACACGCGAATCCGGGACTTATGCTCTTTGCTCACAGGTAGCCCTCAAGGCGCTCATGGTGATCCACCGGACACTCAGAGAGGGGGATCCAACGTTTCGCGAGGAGCTCATTAATTATTCACGGAACCGAGCGCATATCCTCAACCTGTCCAATTTCAAGGACGATTCTAGTCCCAACGGTACGCAAGGCAATCTGTTCATCTTCTTTGTAGATGTTGATTATACTTTGAACTTACCAGCATGGGACTACTCGGCTTGGGTCCGAACTTACGCATTATTTCTCGAGGAGCGGCTCGAGTGCTTTCGGATTTTGAAATACGATGTCGAGTCAGAGCGCTCATCGGTTAGTCCTCGCACTCGTTTTCCCCGGTACAATGAGTGAGCATTGATGGAACAGGGTCACAGCAGAACCAGGGAGCTCGACACAATCGACTTACTAGAACAGTTACCTTCTCTACAACAGCTTCTGCATCGCCTTATGGGATGCCAGGTTTACTTTCATTCATGCTTACAAAATACGAGTCCGTAATTCTTGAAAAAAATTCAGCCTGAAGGAGCTGCCACGAGCAACCACGTGATCCAGTACGCTTTGGGTCTGGTATGCTTGATTCAGTCCGAAACATTTGTAGTTGCTGATCATGACTTTAAATCATCGCAGGTTTTTAAAGAGAGCTTCAAGCTTTACAGAGCAATAAATGACGGGATTATCAATCTTGTAGACAAGGTTGGTAATAATCTGCTTTGTAGTATTCTAGTTCGTAATTGTTTTTCTTTCTGCTCTAGTTCTTTGAGATGCAACGACATGACGCTATAAAGGCTTTGGAAGTCTACAAAAGAGCAGGGCAGCAGGTAAATTCAAGTTTATTGTTGTCGTCAAAGTATCATCTACACAGTGATTACAGGCAGAAAGGCTATCAGAATTTTACGAAATCTGCAAAGGGTTGGATCTCGCTAGGAGCTTCCAGTTTCCTACCCTTGAACAGGTATCCACCAATGAGTTCTTCATTGACTATACATCTTCTTTTCTGGTTTCTAGCCTCCTCAATCATTTTTGACCACGATGGAAGAGTATGTTAAAGATGCACCTCGTCTCGCTATAGTACCAAAGGACCTTGCGGTAAGCTAACTGAAGCTGGCAGCACGTTGCATTGCTGATGAATCTACTTTGTTTTGGAAGCTCGAGTATAATGGAGAACGTCTCATATCTAATCGGATCGCTGCGGCTCCAACAGAACCAGAGCCTGTTGACGAACCCGCACCAGAAGCTCCACCAGCACCAGCACCAGCACCACCAAAACCAATTCAAAGCTCCGCGTTCGAGAGCAATGATCTTCTGGTAAGCAATGGCTTGTCTGGCTTGTCTCTCGTTCATTATTGACATAGCCGTTCATGGTCACAGGGCTTGGGAGAGATGGCTCCAAGCCCTTCAGCATTGGACGAAAGCAATGCGCTGGCACTAGCCATTGTTCCTTCCGGTAAGTGATTAGCATTCAGTTCATCGTAACGAACGAACGAAATATATACGGCCAGGTCCAACGGCAAATGGCACTTCGGAGTCAAATGGAGCCTGGGCACCACAGAGTGGCACGACCGGTTGGGAGCTGGCTCTAGTGACCAATCCCAGCAGCAACGAGAATGCTGTCAGCTCGAGCAGACTGGTATGGTAACCTTGTTTGCAACTTTTCTGTGTATCTCTTGACACACACTTTTGCTTCTTCGTTTCACAGGCCGGTGGTTTTGACAAGCTGACGCTTGACAGCCTATACGACGACGCGCTATCCAGACGACCGCAGCAACAGTACGCAGGAGGGGCGGGGACGAGCTACGGCGGACCACCGCAGATGATGAATCCATTCGACACAATGAACCACGACCCGTTCATGGCTTCTGGCAAGTTTGCTCCTCCGCCGAATGTACAAATGGCAGCCATGGCTCAACATCAGCAGGCACTCTTCTTGCAGCAGCAGCAGCAGCAGCAGATGATGAGTCGCAATCCTCACAATCCTTTCGGTGTTCCCGCGCCGCCAAATGCAAATCCACAGTTCCAAAACAATCCTTTCGGGAATCCGGGCCTAATATGATACACTGCGCGAGCGATGCTTGTGAGTTTTCAGGAATTTTTTTTTTTTGTGGCCCCTCGTCTCATTCTCTTCGCATTATTCTTCCGGTAGCATTATGCTTCTGATCATCGATTTGTGTTCCTTTTTTTTCTACTTTGTAGTAGACACTACCATCTGCATTCAGATGACGCTTTGTATTTGATGAGAAAGTTGATTCTTTATACGTACTGATCAAACAGGAGTGCTTTTTTACTCTACCAACTTTGATTTCACCTTTCACTTTTACTCTTTACCGTGGAATTTTCCATGTTTAATCTTCTCGTTATAGTCAACGGAAACTAAATGGAAGGGGAAAGAGGAGGCAACGCGGCTTCCTGTTTTTCTAGGGTTTGCAGTAGCGCAGGGGGGAAAGGTCTTTTATCTTTTTGTGGGCGGTTGGTGCGATGATAGGAGTGGCGCGGCGGTGGCGGAATCGGCGTCGTCGTGAATGGCATGAGGTTGAGAGGCGAACAGCAATCATGCCGCTACAGTCGATTCATTCTCGCTGTTTGATCCTCGTGGGTGGGAATCACACCGCCGCCCGCTTCTGTGCTCGCTAGGCCACTCCAAATTGTCCCCCTGGGTTTGTACAGCAATTCCAAGATTCTTTTCCCCCCATCGATCGATCCATGGGGTGGATCAGGCACGGCTCTCTCCTCCGCCCCCTCTTCCTCGCCTTGATTCTTACCCTAGTCTCCTTCCTCTCCATCAAGCTCGTCTATGATCCGGGGGCGCGGCCGGCGGCGGCGGCCAAGATCAAGTGGCAGCCGCGGCAGCAGCTCATGATCGCGGAGGAATTCGCGGCGACGGGCGAGGATCTCACGCTGCGCCACCGCTTCTCCTCCTACGACGAGTACCTCCAGCTCCAGCTGCGCAAGACGAGCGACGCCAAGCTGCGCAAGATCTGGACGAGCAGGGACTGGCGGCGCAAGGTGGATGCGTTTGGGGCAATCTTCCGGCGGCTCATCCAGCGCGATCTCCTCCGCCGGGAATCCAAGGCGCTGTGCATCGGCGCCAGGGTAGGGCAGGAGGTCCTCGCTCTCAGGGAGAATGGCGTGGTGGATTCCACTGGCATCGATCTCGTGCCGGCGCCGCCGCTGGTGATCCGTGGCGACATCCACAGCCATCCCTTCCCCAGCGACACTTTCGACTTCGAATTCTCCAACGTCTTCGATCACGCCCTCTTGCCATCGCGATTCGTGTCGGAGATCGAGCGCACGCTCAAGCCAGGGGGAATTGCGGTGATCCACGCCATCATCCACGCCCGCGGCGACAATTTCTCCGCCAACCAGCTGCGCAGCCTGGATCCGCTGGTGGCGCTCTTCGAGAGATCCGAGGTCGTGGAAGTCCGGGCGGTGGACGCGTTTGGGCTAGACACGGAGCTAGTGATGAGGAAGAGGCCGATCCAGCCGTCCAGCTGTACGCCCAAGATCTCGCGCCACACGATGCGCCTCGCGGAGCCGTTGATCGTCCAGGAGCCGGCCAAGCCGTGGATAGTGCTCAAGCGCAACGTGGCCAAGATCCAGTACCTGCCACGCCTGCTCGACACGTCGGACTTCCACGGCCGGAGCCGCCACGTGTACGTGGACGTTGGCGCGCGCACGTACGGCTCCAGCATTGGCGGCTGGTTCAAGAAGGCGTACCCGACGTACGGCAGGAACTTCACGGTGTACGCCATCGAGGCTGACGCGGCATTCCACGCTGGCTACGCCAAGCGCCGGGACGTGACGCTGCTGCCGTACGCCGCGTGGACGAGGAACGAGACGCTGATGTTCGGTACGGCGGGCGACGACAGCATGGGGAGGATACAGTCGGCGTCCTCGTCGGCGCCGCGTCGGACGTCCACGTCGGTGCAGGGCTTCGACTTTGCTGCCTGGCTGGCGGACACGGTGGCGCCCAGCGACTACGTGGTGATGAAGATGGACGTGGAGGGCACGGAGTTTGAGCTGCTGCCCAGGCTTATCGAGAGTGGCGCGATTTGCCTGGTGGACGAGCTCTTCCTCGAGTGCCATTACAACCGCTGGCAAAAGTGTTGCCCGGGCGAGCGGAGCGCAAAGTACAATCGCACTTACACCCAATGCCTGGCTTTGTTCCAGTCTCTCAGGGCCTCTGGGGTCCTTGCTCATCAATGGTGGTGAAAATTTTTTTTTCTCTGATTGTGTATCTGATTGTGTAGTGATCACACACAACTATATCATGGGTAATAGCGAATGAGTGCCAAATCTCATCATCTCATGGTAATCATCCTCTGCAACGTGTTGTTTTTGCATTGTTGGTGGCAAAGTATTGTTGTTTTTGCTTTGTTTGTGATTTCTAGTGATGCTCGTCATTTGCTTTTGTTGGTGATGATATTGGCAATTGGGGAAAAGATCTAAAACCTTGCAAAACTATGAAGTGACAGTGTTAGACAAGAGCAAATACCGCGATGAATGTCTCGAGCGATCGAGCTTCCTGCTCGCTCGCTTCGCTCTCTTAACATCCCCATGAACTCTACAGGCGCCCAGCAGTGTCATCCACGTAACAGTGTCGGCTTCAAACGGCATTTCTTTGATGAGATTTTCGGCTCCTTCCAGCCTTCCCGTTCGTCCCAGGAGATCAACCATGCAGCCATAGTGTTCTTGGCAAGGTTGGATGCCATAGTCATTCACCATTGAGGAGAAGTATTCCTGGCCATCTTTCAAGAGCCCTGCATGGCTACACACGAACAAGACAACTATGAACGTCACGTCGTTGGGTCGAATGCCTTCCAAGTCCTTGGAATCGAAGGTTTCGAGAGCCTCGTCGACATGCCCGTTCTGTCCATAGGCTGCGATCATGGAGTTCAAGGCCACCACGTCTTTCCTCCCGAGATCATCGTAAACTTTCCTCGCGTTGTCCAGGCTCCCGCATTTTCCATAGAGATTGATCAGAGCACTCCCGAGCAGTGACTTGTCTAGCCTGAATCGCCGGCTCTGGATCTCCGAGTGAACGATCTTTCCAAACTTGAGCAAGTGTAGATTTGCACAAGCCTCCAGAACCACCGCAAAGGTAACTTCGTCCGCTTGAACGCCTTGAATGTCCATCATTCGAAACGAGAGAATAGCATCCTTGCAGCGATGGTTCTGGGAGTATCCCGCGATCATCGCATTCCAGGACACAGTGTTTCTTCTCTCCATCTCGTCAAACAATGCCTTGGCCTCCTCGAGGCGACCATTTGATGCGTAGGCTGTGATCATAGAGTTCCAAGAAACAATATCACGATTGGGAGACTTCTCAAACAATCTCTTCGCCTCTTCCAGATTGCCATCCTCTGCGTAAGCGACGATCATAGTATTCCAAGACACGGCATTGCGATTTGGCATCTTGTCAAACAGGGCTCTTGCTTGGTCGATATGTCCATTTTGGGCATAGGCCGCAACCATGGAAGTCCAGGACGAGACATCGTGGTGAGGCATCAAATCAAAGAGCTTCTTTGCTTCTTCCGGGAATCCTTTCTGGGCATATGCCGAAACCAAGGCATTCCAAGATACCACATTTCTCTGTGGCATCTCCATGAATATGCTCATCGCTTCTTTAAAGTCCCCCTTCTCGGCATACGCCGTCATCATAGCCGTCCACGAGACCACATTCCTCTGCGTCATCCGATCAAACAACTCTCTCGCCTCGTAAAGCTGACCGTTCGCTGCGTAAGCTCCAATCATGGCGTTCCACGTGGCAGCGTCCTTCTCAGGCATCCGCTTAAACAAGTCCTCCGCTTCGTCCATTTGCCCGTTCTGGGCATATGCCGTGAGAAGAATGTTCCATGAAACCGGATCTTTAATAGTCATGGCATCAAAAAGGCTCCTTGCCTGTGCCAAAAGCCCGTTTTGCGAATATGCCGATAACATTGCGTTCCAGGACACTACGTCACGCTTGGGCATCTTGTCAAAGATATTCTTTGCCTCGGCAAAATCCGTGTTTTGGGCATATGCCGAAAGCATAACATTCCACGTCACCACATTCTTTTGTGGCATCTTGTCGAATAATTTCCTGGCCTCTTCGATTTGCCCATTGTGTGCATATGCTGTGATCATAACCGTCCACGAAACAACGGTTTGATTTGGAGAGCTGTCAAAGACTCTCTTCCCCTCTTGTAGATTCCCATTCTGGGCATATGCCGTGGCCATGGCGTTCCAGGAGATGGAATCTTTGTGAGGCATTTGATCAAACAGGCACTTTGCCTCTTGAATTCCCCCGGACTGTGCGTAAGCAGTGAGCATGGAGTTCCAGGACACGAGATCTGGCCGAGAAATCCTGTCAAACACCAGCTTTGCCTCATCGACATGCCCGTTTTGGGCGTAGGCTCCCAGCAGCAAATTCCACGAGAAGATGTTTGGATTCGCGATCCCATCAAACACGAGCTTCGCATCTTTCACGCTGCCGCATTTTCCATACATCTCGATCAAGCGATTGCAGAGGAAACGATTCCTCGAGTGTGGGCTCGCCAGGAGATCGGCATGGATTAGCCTTCCCGTGTCGAGGTCGCGCGCCCTAGCGCACGCACTGACCAGGGAGGCATATCCCTGCGCATCCATTTCAAATTCAAATCCAAGAGTCTGGGCGGGGAGATGTTCTTGGGCATTTGCTGGTCGATTACATGATGGGCTTCTACGATGGATCGTCGCGACTGCCTTGCGGTGATTCAATCTTGCAAAACTCTTCCTTTTCTGGAGAGCTTCCACGCGAAGATAGAAAACCGAGTTGGATCTCACGATTTGTTCCTCACAAACAAGCTCATCGAAGCCTATGGGAAATGCCGGGGTTTAAAGCAAGCCAAAGCGATCTTCGATGCTCTCGGCAAGAAAGACTGTTATTCCTGGAATCTTATGATATCCGTATACATACGAAACAGTCAGCTAGACGAAGCCAAGCTGCTGTTTGACACAATGCCAGATCGGACACTGGTGTCGTGGACTGCTACGATGGCAGCATATGCCCAGAATGGGAATCTTTCTCTGGCAAAGCAATTCTTTGATCGCATGCCAGAGAGGAATCTTATTTCCTGGACCGCAATGCTGACTGGATATGCCCAAAGTGGGCAAGTGGAAGAGGCCAAACGCATCTTTGAAGCCATGCCACTTCGGAATCTTGTGTCTTGGACTGGTATGGTTGCGGCATATGCTTTGAACGGGCATCTGGAAGATGCCTTACGTCTGTTTAACAAGATGCCTGAGAGAGATCCCGTTTCCTGGAACGCGCTTATTTCTGCATATGCTCAGGATGGGAATCTTCAAGAAGTTAAGGCCTTGTTTGATAAAATGCCGCAGAGGAGCATGGTATCGTGGACGTCAATGCTGGTGGCATATGCTAAGAACGAGCATCTAGACCATGCTAAGAAAATGTTTAGAGAGATGCCTCAAAGGAATCTCGTTGCCTGGACGTCTATGATTGGAGCATATGCCGGTGATGGGTATCTAGAGCAAGCCCAGGGAGTATTCGATGAGATGCCCGAGTGGGAAGTGATATCTTGGAATGCTCTGCTCTCGGCATATGCCCAGGCAGGGAATCTTAAAAAGGCAGAGGAGATTCTTAGCAAAATGCCGGAGAAGAATCTGGTAACGTGGAACGCCATGGTGGCGGGATATTCGCAAAGCGGATATCTGCGGGAGTCCATCACAACTTACGAAAAGATGCCGGAGCACAACGTAGTGTCGTCGACAGCAGTGATTGCCGCCTACGCCGAAAGCGGGAAAGTCGAGGAGGCTAGGTGCTTGTTTGAAAGCATGCCTGAGAAGGATCTCATCTCTGCCTGTGCCTTATTATTTGCTTATGCCCAAAACGGGTATATGGACGAAGCCAAAATTTTGTTCCAAAGCCTGAAAGAGCACACGATCATACTATGGACTGGAATGGTGGCGGCTTATGCGCAATGTGGTTGTCTAGAAGAAGCCAAGCAGCTATTCGATCAAATGCCTGAGAAGAACATAGTGTCGTGGAACGCTATGTTTTCTGCTTATGCCCAAAAGGGTCATCTACACTTTGCAAGGGATATGTTTGCCAGACTTCCCGAGCGAAACACCGCTACATGGAACGCTCTGATTGCAGCAAATACCCAAACCGGCCATCATTCCGAGGCTTTGGAGACGTTTCACACGATGCAAATGACGGAGGTGTGCGACGACACGAGCCTGGTGCTTGTTCTCTTGGTTTGCAGTCGAGCAGGAAACGTGAAAACGAGCAAGTTTGTGTTCCAGTCGATTAGCATGGACTACCACGTCGAGTTGACGAAGCAGCACTTTGGGTGCATGGTGGATCTGCTGGGACGAGCTGGGCATCTGCGGCATGCCAAAGATCTCATCGCCAACATGCCCTTCCTGCCCGACGGCCTCGAGTGGCGATGCTTTCTCGGTGCGTGTCGAAGTTTCAATGACACTGCTCGAGGGGCTATGGCGGCCAAATCCGCTCTAGCACACGAGGAGGACGCTGCGGCTTTCGTGTTGCTGGCGAACACGTATACTGACACTGGAAAATCCGTCTCGAATAACAGAGATGAAGAGCTTGAATTCGATGAAGCAAATGTGCTTCAAATGCACTGATAAACTTGAAAACCACCGTCAAGATCAGCGCTAAAAAATCTTATTGTCGAGAAACGACTCTGTACCTCGCATTTGTGCTGCTCGGAAATTTTTTCCGATCTTGTCAGTAGAAGTTGAGACCACTGCACTGCTGAGACAAGCGGCGTTGGTGATGTGAGTAGAACTCGCAGACTGCGTTGACATCTTCCATGTGTTGGGCTAAGTCACCAGGCAAATCTAGACTGTCCAACTTCGACCCGACCCCGGCTTTTGCTTCGTGACAAGCAAGGAGGAAAAGAGCTGCAACGTCCGGGCACTGAGCATTCAGAGCTCGAAGCGCATCGGACAATGCCCCTGCCGCCACGAATAGTGTCAAAGCCCTGCATTGCGAATGGAAGTTGCATGAGAAAAAATGAGGGACTTGGAGATAACTCACTTCCAGATGTTATGCTCTGTTTGTAAAACATGCTCCGCCCAACGCTCCAAAACTCTGCAAAAGATTTGTGTTAAACAAGGACAAAATCCAAAGCGTCAGGCTACCTCGAGAGCTCTGGCCCGCTTAGTTTCGATGCAGCAAGAGTGCAGGCATCCTCCCAACGACCAGCATCTTGGAGCTGGAGAACCAAAGGTAAATTACAGAAATGGAAGTGCCAGGGGATTACCTGTGAGCATGCTTCTTGATAACGCCCAACAGCGCAAAGCAAATGTGTGCCACCAAGTGAATCGTCCGTGGCCACCATATTCGCGGCAACAACCTGCGTTCAAGTAGAATTATACATAGATGTTTACGACCATCTAGTTCTTACTTTGATTGCTAGCTCATGTAGTCCCGGAGAGACAGCTGCGGCGAGAGTTACAGCCCGAAGAGCGTCAACATAAAAGTGAGGATTCTCTGGAGGTGTAGCCAGGAGCAGTGTGACAGCAGCTTCGAAATCTCCAGCAGATACATATCTATCAAACGTGTGAAAACCGAAGCACAAGCCACGAAAAGACTTACTCATGTACTAGCTTTTGTGCTGCCTCATCTCCCCCAAGCGTTTTGTGCCATGATATTCGTTCTTCGGATACCGCACGGACAGTAGCTCGATCGCAGGCAAAAGCTGCCTGCATAACAAATTTAGGCATCATAATGTCTACAGTATGAACGTAAGGCAGACCATCTTCTTCGTCGACCAAGTTTGTTCTTTACGCGAATTCTCGTTATCGTTTGATAGCTTGGCAGACCCCTGCTCCCTGAAAGAACTTAAACTTTCTTTCAAAGTTGGAGCAGGCTCAGTGGGTCCATCAACCAAGAGTGCAAGCGCTCTCGGAAGCTGTAGCCAGAATAACGCCTCAAAGTAATTTCCAAAATGTGCAGCCGCAAATGCCAGCCGGGAAGCACATCCTTGTTTGCTTAAAGCTGTGTAATTACGTATACTTTGAGCATCCAGCAACCGTCCTGATTGCATACACCATTTTAGCATGTAGAAAATTAACAAAAACACGAGAGCTTGCCTGTCCTACGAAATGGTTCTAGTGCCTTCAACAATATTTCCAAAACCACAGAGTCTCCGATAGCGGGAAGATTGGTCTCCAGGAGAAACTGGCGTAAATCTCCAGAAAATTCAACCAAACTTTTGGATCTGTCCACAGGTGATGTACCAAACCACGAAGCAGAAACTCCGGTTTGTAGAAGTATACGAAAAGCCTGCAATTCGTGAATTGAAGTTACAAACTCTAGGTTGGAAACAGTATTACCGAAGCTTGTGGATAAGGAAGTAGCGCGGGCGAATAAACTGGCATTGGTCTTGATTTCTCCCAAGATGCCACCATCGACCTTGATCCACGGCCTCTGTAGGGATCATAAGAAAGTTTAATTCGATATGCAAACACGAAAAACTCACTTCGTGGTTTGAATCTCAAGCATCCTAAAGCTCCCGTCAGCACCAACTAGGCATAATTGTAGCGGATCCTGTTTCTCTATGCGCAAAGGGTACCAGTCAAGCTCTAGCACAAGCATTCCAGCCAGCTGAGGTTGTACAAGCGAGTTGGCCACAGGGTCTTGTGTATCCTGTATTAACTAGTTAGGAAAGAAAACCTTCCAGAAGGTATGTTTACCAGATCATAAACCGCAAACGTGTTGTCATTGAACAAAACTGCGACGCGTCCTCTAGTCGAGTCATTTGCGGACACTGGGGCGAATTTAATTCTTCGAATACCTCCCCTGTGGGTGTTGAACGAAGATGATGAACCAGATGTCACATCCCACCACCGAAGATTTCCAACACGATCTCCCATAACCTGTGAAAGAAACACAAGATGGTAATGTGCATCGACGATGACATTGAAAACATTTACCACATGGGGCATCCGATATGCCATTGCAGTGACTAGAACATCCGTCAATACAAACGATGACACAGGCCATTTGGGCCTGCCAGATAGATAAAACTCAATTACATTGGAAACCAGAAGTGGAAACGCTTACTTGAAGTCGCGAACTCTTCTGCCCCGAAGCTCAAACACTCCTAGCGAACCATTTACTAAAGCGAATGCAAAACTTTCGGCTGTTTCGTCTTGTTGCGATGCGTCCGCTGGCAAAATAAATAACCGAACTAAGTGATCACAATGAAGGTGCTTTGATTGTCCTGACCTTGATCATCACCAGCCGGAGATGCGTTAGCTGCAGCAACAGTGGAAGCTATAGTCGGGCGTTCTCGATATGCAAGAGATGGTCGATGCGATGGTAATTGCGGCGGGTCCGAAGGCTTCGGTGCTGGTGGCAATGCCCATTCCATCACAGTAAACGGCAACGCCAAAGATCGAAGCTATCAGAACAGAAATGTTTTTCACTAAAAAGCAAATGAGAAAAAGAAGGAAAATACCATTTGAGGATTTTTCGTCATAGCCCATACTTCTGCTGGAGCCTCCCGGAACAGAATCAGCATGTATCTGATTAAAAGGCACTTTAAGTAGGAGTAACACAAGCAAAACTAGGCTACCTTCCAGAAGGGGAGGTCCGAAGAGCTCGCATTGGCGCTCTCTCAGGCTTTTGAAGAACGCGAAAGCATCGACTTTGGCCACTCCGTATACAAGTCAAAACAAGTTTGTTAATAAATCCACCTCCTTTTCCTTTCACCTGCGCTATAGTGAGCAAAATCGTGATGAAAGGTTGACAAATTTACCTCCGTATATGAAAAAGAAACGAGACGCGTATTTCCCAGCCAACGAATTCCTCGAACAGCATTGTTGTTATGTACAGAGAACGAGGATGTGATTGCATGGGCAGAGGGATCATGAAGCTCTAAAGTTCCCGACTGTGTGGCTAAAGCAACAAGTGGGACAGATGGTGCCGCCGCATTTCCACCACCTGACGAAATGGAAAACCGCTTGTTAAAGAGCCTACGACACAAAAAGTTTTACCTGACATGGTTGCTAGCAAGGAAGGCACGGCGACCGCTAAAGTTATCACAGAAGATGGCAGGAGATGTAGTTGTCCAGTTAATTCTAGCTGCAGCTCAAGAAGAAGAGCAAATCCCACTGTCACGGCTGCAAGGATACCATTCCGTGTAGCTAGATTAATCAACGAGCATGAAAGTCACACCTAGCTGCTTGCTAAGTTCATGCATGCCGTACTCAACCATAACCAACACCTAAACTGCAATGCGACCAAGGAACAGAAAAACTTACTTGAAAGGCGAACTCAACATTAGAGTTTTCGCTTAGCTGATGCAAAGAATCGTGCTTCATGCGCCACTCCCATAGTCTCCCATCGTCTGAAACCGAGACGAACGTTATATGAGCTTGCTGCTTCGGAGGCTCGAGCTCGACGCCATGGGGCATTCCAATCGGGCAGAAGGTGACGGCAAGCACGGAAGGCGGAGGAACCGGGGTCCCAAACGAGGGCATGAGGCTGTCAATCTGTACAATCGAAAAAACCTGGCTGTTCCTGCAATCATACGTTCGAGCGAGAAGAATTAGTATGAGAAAAAACAGAAAGACGTTTTATACTCACTCTTTTCTCTTCCAGCTGCTGAGCTTGCCGTCGACGTGAGCAAAGAACAAGAGCTCGCCACCCACGTCCGCCACCAAGTCAAGGAACTTTGCACAGCCGCGGGGTAGCGGCATGGACGAGAGTGTCATCCCCAAGTGTAAGTCGAAGACCACAATCTCTCTGGGAAGAACCACGTAGAGAATGCCCCGGCTGGCTCCAAACGACGAGGAGAAGTGGCATCGAGCAGAGGTTCCCATCATCATGGAAGGCAATGCAGCCGCAGTCGTGGAATTGGAAGCTCCTCCACCACCCGAGGACGGAGTTCCCCCTGTTCCACTGGCACTGCTAGCGCTACTGGACGATCGTTCGCGTTCGTCATGATCGCCAATGCTTCTAGCTTCCAGCTGATAACTCTTGGATAACACACTGTTGTTCTCGGTCCCAGTAACCAGTATCGAGAGAAGTAAACCTTTGACTCCCAGAGCACAGAGCTGGCGAGAATCCAAAGGATCGCAACGCAGGCAAGTGAGAGTATCCGCGGCGTCATACCTCCAGATCGCGGATCTCGAGCGAGGATCCCAGATCACGAGCAAATTCGCGCCATGGATTGCCGCCAGCAACCACGACGGATGCGAATGGATCCAGCAGAGATTATAAACGCCACCGCTGCTAGAACCGGTGTTCTTGTCATCCCCGAGCCAGGTCGCGACCAAACCCGAGCTCACATCCCAGATTGCGATCCTCCCCTGCCGATCGCCCGCCGCCAATTGGAGCTTTTGTGGAGCCGAGAGATCTTCCATGGCGGAATGGGGCAATCCCTGGGGCAGCCACTGCAATGCTGAGACATAGGACGCCGGGAGCGATGGCCGGGGCGCGGGCATTGGCAGCACGAGCAGCAGCTGCATGGATCGAACATCCACAAGAACGATCGCGCTACCGGCGCCATAGGCCAGCAGTCCGTGCGCGCTGCAATCCGCACACCCCGCATTCTCCCTGCTCGCCGGTCCCGGCATGACCATCGCCATCGCCATCGCAAGAGCCCTATAATGCAAACCCGCCCTAGGGTTAGGTCAAATAAGAGAGAGAAAACAGGGTCGTCGTCGCCATGGACGAGGAGGGCCAGATGGGCGAGGTGCTCAAGGAAGTCTTCCCCCTCCTCACGGGAAGGGATCTTGCGGCATGCATTTGCGTGTGCCGGCAGTGGCGAGACGTGGGCAGGGACGATTTCCTCTGGCGACGCCTCTGCGCTAGCCGCTGGCCATCGATCTGCCTCAATTCCAGCAATTCCCACCAGCGATCCACAATCGGATCATCCACAATTGGGGCAATTCGCGGCTACCGCAATCTCTTCTCCACAATCGCGAGGAGCAAGAGGAACCGAGCACTCCCGGCGCCCAAGCTGTGTTTCAGGGACCTGGAGTTCTACGTCGACGTGTGGGTAGGGCGGAGGTCCGTATACTCGGCCATTGTGGCCGGCCCGGTCGTACAGTCGCGGATCAAGGACCCGCCAGAGGGAATCTGCGACAGCATGCGACAGCATCTTCTCAGCAGCGAGTACAAGATGAGCGTCCCAGTGCTGCCCTATTTCCAGTTTAGCCCTAGCAGCGATGTCAGCGACAGCGACGATGGCGTTTGTAGCATGTCCATGCTCGTGAGGCGCAAGGACAGTGATCAGATCGCCACCATCATCGACGGCTCGCGGTTCACGTACGTGGACGGCCTGGAGAAGCGCGCGCACGCCTACGACTACCTCCACATCTCGCCGCTCTACCCGTTCCTCTCGGAGATTAGGGCTTGGGTGGCGCTGCTACTTGTGGAGAGGCCGCCAAATACGATGGCCGAGGTGTTTGGGATCGAGCTGGATTTCCTTGACACGGCTAGCTCCGATGATGAGGTCCTCTTGCTCCTCGACATCCTCGACTGGAAGTAAAAGTTAAACTGTGATGTCGTACCCCAGTAAATGTAAATTAAAATGTACGGCTATCAATTCTCTTACAAGTTTAAAATGATTCTGGGAACTTCTGCGAAACAGTGCTTGTGATTCGCGAGCCGATGATGATGATGAGAATACTACCTATGTTTGTATGCTTGCCTTGACCCGCATATAGAGACAAATTCAAGGAAACGGCGCAGTGGAAGCGAGAAGAAATTTCGGTGCTTTCTTCGCTGGCAAGCAGCGCCGCGATCCATTAGACCAGCAGCATTCTCTTCCTGATTGTCTTCCCAGGAAATTTTCATCCATGGCGCTCCCATTTCAATGCAGGAGGATTGGAATCCTCCAAACCCTCGCGCCCGCGGCGATCAAGATGCTAGCATTCTCCCTTCTTCTCCTCTACTTCTCCCAGATCTGCGATGGCGCTTCTCCCTATCAATGCCCTAGCTGCGGCAACGCGACGGTGCCATTTCCTCTCAGCACCGATCCATCCTGCGGCAGGCCAGACTACGCGATCATGTGCCGCCAGGGAAATCTCGAGCTCCAGGCGCTCAATGGCCGCTACTCGATCCAGCGCATCGACCGCGAGTCTCGAAATATCGTCATCTCCTCCATGCCGCTGGCGCCGGCGAGCTGCACGACGCTGGACGCGATCAATCCCTCGCCGGCCAGCGGCGGCAGTGGCGGCCTGGCGCTCAATCAAAGCCAGGCGTTCAATGTCACGAGCAGCAACACGATCCTGTTCCTCAACTGTTCTTCAATCTTGCTGCGATCGCCGCTCAATTGCTCCTCCAGTAGCGTCTGCCACCGCTACATCGATTCCACGCCCAGCGCTAGCGCCTGCCGGGGCGATAATCTCTGCTGTAGCTTCACGGCTGGGGGATCTAGCACATCCCACACTATCCGAACGAGAACCGATGGATTGGGCTGCTCGGCATACGTGAGCGTCGTGCGTATGGATCAGAGCTTAGATCCCAGGCAATGGAGCTATGGTGTGGAGCTGGGATGGGCGCCGCCCAGGGAGCTCCAGTGTGGCGGCGAGGGAGACGATTGCGACACCGAAGATTCATCGTGTAGGATGGATTCTACGAGCGGGGACTTCCGGTGCTTGTGTGATCCAGGCTACGTCTGGAATTCCGACGAAGGGGTTTGCTCCAGCACAGGTATGTGATCAAGAAATATTTTCGTTCGGAGTTTTAGGGTTCTTCGTTTCATGTCTCTCAGCTTGCAATGGCGCTGGCTGTTCGCGATCCAACAACGCGATCCTTATCGCAGGTAGGGACAGATTTCTTGCTCGATTCTCGTACACTAAAATGCTCGCTCTTCCAGGTCTTGCATCGGGAGGCGCGGTTTTGGCAGCAATACTAGCCACTGCGCTCTTCGTTGTCCACAAAAGAAGATCTAGGAGGGCGATGAAGCGGGCAAACAGGGCACAAGAGCTCGCACTGATCATGTCCAATGCTGGCGGAGGAAAAACTTCAAGGATCTTTACCGCGGGAGAGATGAAGCGTGCCACGAACAACTTTTCCAAGGAGAGGCTCTTGGGAACGGGTGGATTTGGAGAAGTCTACAAGGGAACTCTCGATGATGGAGTGGTCGTTGCGATCAAGCTGGCCAAGCTTGGAAACATCAAAGGCAGGGACCAGGTGATCAACGAGGTGCGCGTTCTCTCGCAAGTGAATCACAGGAACTTGGTCCGGATCTGGGGTTGCTGCGTTGATACTGGCGAGCCTCTAGTCGTCTACGAATACATTCCCAATGGCACTCTCTACGAATGGCTTCATGTGGGCAGAGGTTTTCTTGACTGGAGATCTCGGCTTCGAATAGCTTTGCAAACTGCCGAAGGTCTGGCCTATCTCCACTCAGCAGCGTATCCACCGATTTACCACCGAGACGTGAAGTCCAGCAACATACTACTCGATAACTCTTTGGTTGCCAGAGTTTGCGACTTTGGGCTGTCGAGGTTAGCCGAGCCAGACTTAAGTCACGTCTCCACTTGTGCACAGGGGACTTTGGGCTATTTAGACCCGGAGTACTACAGGAAGTATCAGCTGACAGACAAGAGTGACGTCTACAGTTTTGGTGTCGTTCTACTGGAGCTCGTTACGTCTCAAAAAGCCATCGATTTCTCCAGGGACCAAGATGACATCAACCTGGCAATGTATGTCATTGCGAGAACTGAGAGAGGGGACGTCATGGATGTTGTTGACAAAAGGCTACTTGATTTTCACAACGGTGATAACGCCTTCGAAGTCGTGACCAGAGAAACCATTGTTGGTGTGGTGATGTTGGCGCTTAATTGTCTTCGGGAGAGCAAAGACGAGCGTCCGACAATGAAGGAGGTCTCAGATGAGCTCAACTACATCATCGAGACGTACGATACAGCTGAGGTCTACAAATTCTAGCAAAGGTAGAAATTTTGTTTCATAATTTCTGATTCTTAACCTCACTCTGGTTCACCAGGAGCGGGTCAAGCAGAAGAAAAGTCGAGCTTGAGCTGTAAAACTTAACGTCACATTTAGATTTCTTCAAGGTAAGCAGAGATTTTCTCTTAGAAATCAAGACATTTCGCTGATAGGCCCTAGGCATGGCGTTGGCGAGTTTTCAAACAGCTTCCAGTAGGAATGGGCGACTTTCAGCGACACTGTCACCAGCCCTTGGGAAGTCAAGCGTGTTTATCATGCCTGAGATCGGTAGGAAACGTCAATTTCTCTCTTACCGTGTGGATGTAGCGCGTAGAATGCAAGCTACAAACAGGCTCAGCGAGGTATTGCCATTTCTGAAGCAAGGTGATAAAGATGCGGTGAAAAAGGAGCTTCTGTCAGAGATTGAGCCGCTGGACAGAGGGGCAGCAGCCACGGAAGACGATCGAATGCGTATCGACAAGGTATGGAAGAGCTTCATATCTGGCAAAAAAAATTATTTATCTTTGGAAACAGCTTGCTCAGAAGTTGGAGGCTTTAAATCCCACCAAAGCACCACTGAAGTCGCCTCTACTCAACGGAAAGTGGGAGCTTTTGTACACGACATCACAATCCATACTCAAATCGAACGTAAGTATACTCTGTATACTCTGTCTTTGCTACGGCTGACGTTGTAAACTGTTCCTCACGTGCAGCGTCCAAAGCTGCTGCGGCCGAATGGACCAATCTACCAGGCGATCAACAACGACACTTTGAGAGCTCAAAACTTAGAAACCTGGCCCTTCTTCAACCAGGTTGACGTAGTCAGTATTTCATGATATCCGATTCCTTATACTTGCGTTGTAGGTGACCGCAAATCTAACCCCTTCAAGCTCTTCCAAAGTGGTGGTCAATTTTGATTTCTTCAAAATCGCAGGCTTGGTAAAGTGTCAATCGCTGCTAGTGCATGTACAGGAACTCTAAAAAAAACACGTGCAATTCAGATTCCAATCAAGGCTCCAGGACGCGCACGAGGAGAACTGGATGTAACTTACCTGGACGAAGATTTGCGGTGAGCTTGAACGTTTTATGCGTTTCATGCTCTGATCAACTCCTAGCTGTTGCAGCGTCTCTCGCGGTGATCGGGGAAACTTGTTCGTGCTAAAGATGTTCGACCGGAGTTATCGAGTTCCAACACAAGGATAGAAGAAGAGTTGTCTTTTTCTTATTATCGAGCAAAAGCAGTATAACAAATGGGACACAGCGGAGGGGCTGGGAGGTACATCAATGCTTGTTAGGAGCTAGCTAGCAAAATACGCATGATCAAACCAATCTTTTCCAGTTTTTTTTTTTTTTTTTGTTCTTTTTTCCTTTCTTTTCGTCGTCGTTCCTGTGCTTCATTCTCACGTACTTTGTTCTTTGTTGGCCAGGTCTCAAGCATCAACCTTGTCGTACTTGAGTGGCTTTGTCGTCTCCCAGCTGAAGTCTGGGTCGTCCCGACCAAAGTGACCGTAGGCCGCCGTCTTCTGGTACCGCTTGTTCCCACCACGCTTCAAATCCAGATGAATCGCGATCATTCCCGGCCGGAAGTCAAAGTTCTCCTTGATGAGCTTGAGGATCTCACGGTCTGGAACCTTGCCAGTGCCATACGAGTCGACGAACACCGACAGCGGCTCCGGAACTCCAATGGCGTAAGACACCTGAACGATGCAGCGGCGAGCGAGCCCCGCCGCCACCACGCTCTTGGCCGCCTGCCGCACAATGTAGGCACCGCTGCGATCCACCTTGGTGGGATCCTTTCCGGAGAAGGCACCACCTCCGTGAGCTCCCCATCCGCCGTAGGTGTCAATGATGATCTTCCTGCCGGTCAGGCCAGCGTCGCCGTGAGGGCCGCCGATGACGAACCTCCCGGACGGGTTGAGATGGAAGATGGTCTTCTCATCCAGGTACTGCTCGGGGATCACCGGCTTGATAACGTACTCTCGCAGGTCCGCGGCGATCTGATCGTTGGTGACGGTCTCGTCGTGCTGGGTGGAGATGAGGACGGTGTGGACGCGGATTGGAACCATAGCTCCACCTTCGTTGCGGTACTCGACGGTCACCTGGGTCTTGCCATCCGGGCGGAGCCACTTGCAAGTTCCGTTCTTGCGGACCTCGGTGAGCTTGGCGCCGAGCTTGGTGGCCAGGACGTGGCTGAGCGGCATGAGCTCCTCGGTCTCGTCCGTGGCGTAGCCAAACATGTGTCCCTGGTCGCCGGCTCCGATCTCCTCGGGCTTCTTGGTGAGGTGGCCGTGGACGCCCTGCGCGATGTCGGGGCTCTGCTGCTCGATGTTGACGAGCACCTTGCACTTGTCCGCGTCCAGGCCGACGTCGTCCGAGGTGAATCCAATCCCGCGGCAGGTGTCGCGGACGATCTTCTCGTAGTCGACGTTGGCCTTGGTCGTGATCTCGCCGAAGATCATCACCATGTTGGTCTTGGTGCACGTCTCGCAGGCCACCTTGCTGTCCGGGTCCTGTTCCAGGCACGCATCCAGGATGGCGTCCGAGACCTGGTCGCAGAGCTTGTCCGGGTGACCCTCATTCACGGACTCCGAGGTGTACAAGAAGGAATCCATCTGTACGTTCACAAAAGAATCAAACTGTGAGAAGCGCCACCAAAAACCCTGTGAGCGGCGACAATCTAGGGAGAATCTAGGGAGAAAATGCGAAGGAAACCTAGGCGAGAAGAGAGAAGCAATAAATCTGGGAAACCTAGTCCTAGAACACGAAGATTCAAGCGGGGAATAACCCTGGCTCACTCACCTCGATTGGAATGCGAGCAGATCTGGAGGCGCCGCTGCGAGATCTGTGCTGCTGCCGGTGGTGCGCGATGGATTGCGCGGCGGATCGACGAGGAGGATATTGGGTCGGCACGAAGACGCAGTAGGCGCGCCCTGGGGCTTTTGAAGCAACCGGGGTCAACAAAAGCTCGCTGCTGGCCGCTCCAAGCTTACCAACCCTTCCCACGGTAGATAGACTGTGGCCAGCCGTACCGCCCGCTTTTGGATTTGTGCCACTGGCCCACATGGAGCGAATCCGTGACGCGAATATACTCGCCCGTTTCAAACCGCTGCCACGGTTCGAATCCCTCCCCTAAAATCCTAAAATTAGGGCACCACCATTTAAAGGCGCCACCTTTCCCTTTCGCTTTTCTTTACAAGATGGTCCATTCTTTTATGTCGAGTGTCGTACGCTCTTCGTACGTCCTTTTCTATGGATGGATGAATGCTTTCATGGATCCACTCATTCACTGCCCAGATTACAACAGCCACCACCACCCGTGGAAAGTTTTAAATGCCGCGAAAAACCAGCAAATCGAGGAAAATAACATCCGCATCCGCCATGGTCGTATCAAGAATATCAACGCAAATGGCTGGGACATTTTTCCCATTTCAATCCAAAACAAACAAACACTTTCTACAAGCAATCGAAGAAGAAATCATCGTCCTCGAGATGGAGCTCTGCCACCAAATCCGCAAATGCGAGCTTGATGGATTCGTGCTGGTCTGGCGAATTTAGAGCGATGTAGCAGTAGAGCAGCTCCTGGAGCTCGGGCCACTCGAAAATTCCATTCTCGCGCACCATTTGCTCCATGGAAACCCTAAAATCGTTGTAGGGGTCGCAGGATTCCATCACTAGAGGGATGGCATTGCTGGCTGGGCCGCGCAGATCTGGAGGCAATGCCGCGGACAAGCTGTGATTTCTTCGTCGCTGCCTCGTGATCTTGGCAAGATATTCAGCTTTACTGTGGTCTTCTTCTTGCTTTGTGCATGCTTGCCCGGATTCTTGATCCCAATGCGCGATTTCTGGATCCCCTTGTTCGATTTCGCTGCAAGATGACTCGATTCCAGCGCTTGGTGCTATAGTCGTAGCGTCGCAGCAGTCGAATCCCGAGATTTCGAGCCTGCTCTTGAGCGCGCAAACGTCGAGGTCGCGGCTCCCGTAGCTCGACATGGACGAGAATTCCAGATCCCACATCTTCTCGACGTCGGCAATGCGCGCCTCGATTGGCACCGTTGCCCGCGCTAGCTGCTCCTCGATTTTCTTGGCGTCCAGCAATTCCCCTGTTTTGGCGGACAATTTCTCCCCTGGCTGATCCATTGCTGTGGATTTCGGTGATAGATCTTTGGAACTCCAGGACCTCGCCATACGCGAGAAGCTAAAATGCGTTCTTTTCATGGCCGAAGAGGAAAGATTTGAATGAGGTAGAAAGATTTTGCAAAGAAAAGAAAGAGTTCGTGCAGAGAAAGAAGCGCTGGAAGAAAGTCTTCGACGACGAAGAAAGGATCGATTGGCGCTTTCCACTGCCTACTGCGATGTCGATCGAGGCTATATATCCTTGGGACTCCACCGCGAGATTAATCCCCGCGATTCTACCCTAGCCAGCTCGATCCAGGCAGCCAAATCGCCACGGCTTCATCCCCCCATTTACTGAAAAAGATCCGCCATCTCGATCTCACACTTTCGCAGCAGCAGCAGTATAGCAGCATTCGTCCAGCTCGCGAGGATGAGAAAAATTCTTGGGCAGGAAATTTATTCCTAAAACCTTTGGATTCTTCACTACCCCTTAGAGGAACAATGGAAATCTCTCACGCAGTCGTAGGGGCCCCGCCTCATTCCACACTCGTTCTCACAACTGGCGGTTTCTCATTTAAGGAGCGACATGGCCTCCACACCAGCCCAGAGAAATTCCTCCCCGCCCAGATCAATCATCTCGCTGGGGGGCCCAAGAACCCTAAAACTTGCCATGTACTACATTCTCTCGCAAGCATATTCTACCGGATATGCTCCCGACGGCTACATTCCAACCGCAATCCCAGCCGCAAAATGGTCACACGTGTATGCTTTAGAAAGCAACAGGACAAAAAGAAAGCTATCCAGCTCCGATCAAACATCGCATTTTTAACGAATAAAAAGGATTCTTGGGATCGGAAATTAGGGTTCTTCCGCGACATGGATTAGGGCGGCAGCCACGTCAACCATCCGCGGCCGATCCTCGCGATTCGCGGCCAGGCACTGGAATGCGATCTCGGCAACGCGCAGCGCCATCGCCCTCACCATGCAATTCCTGGCGGCCTCCAGGTGGGGATCGATAATCTGCTCGAACGCGCCGGCCTGGAGCATCCCCACGGCGTAGGGCGCGAGATTGACGCGCTCGCGCGAGAAATCCACCGCCGGCTTGGCGGTGATGAGCTCCATGAGCAGCACGCCAAAGCTGTAGACGTCGCTCTTGTCCGTGAGCGCGTAGCACTGGTGGTACTCGGGGTCCAGGTATCCCGCCGTGCCTTGCGCCCCGATTGACACGTGTCCTTCGACCGCGGCGGCGGCGGCGGCCGCTTTGGAGAGCCCGAAATCGCCCAGCTTGGCGTGGAAGCCCTCGTCGAGAAGAACGTTTGTGGATTTGACGTCGCGGTGGAGGATCGAGTAGGAGTGCAGGTATGCCAAGACCTGGGCGATGTCGATGGCGATGGCGAGCCGTGTGAGCCACGGCAATCGCGATTTCTTGGTGTGGAGGTGATCGGCGAGGGTGCCATTGCCCACGAATTCGTAGACGAGGAGGAGGGATTGGCCGTCGGTAGAGCAGCCCAGGAGCTGGACGAGATTTGGGTGCTTGAATCGCGAGAGGATGTCGATCTCCGCCATGAACTGGGGCGATGCTTGCTGGGGCGATCGGTGGAGGAGCTTCACCGCGACGACGTCGCCGCCACCGCCAAGGGTTCCTGCGTAGACTGTGCCAAATCCACCATCGCCCAGCCGGCGATTCTCGGAGAATCCGTTCGTGGCGAGCTCCATCTCCTGGAAGGAGAATTGGCGGACTTGGGAGAGGGATTTGCGCGCCGACTGGCCCAATTCGAGCTGCGTTTTGCTACACCGCCGGTGGAGCTCTTTCCTGGCGTAGATGATGATCATTGTCAAGGTGAAAACCGCCAGGAAGCAAGCAAATCCTGCCAAGAACACGTATCAATTTCCCTTGGATGAATGGATCGTTCAATACCTACGAGAAGGTGTCTCTGGAGCGGGTGGTTCAATCCATGATCATAACCACTCAGTGGAGGAGCGATTTGTGTAGCGTTTGGATCGACAGCGAGTGCCAGGATGATCATCCTCTTCTCAAGTCGATTCGATTTTACGTTTCTTTGAGTGTCACGGGATCGGTCAAAGTGCGTGTAAAGTAGGACAATGACCGGAGGACTTTGACCATAAACATAAAACCTTCTAGAGCGCTGCGAGTTTAAAGATAAAATAGAATCTTCCTAGGGAGATTCTTATCCACGTGTCACTCTATCTCAGCCGTCAAATTTGAGAGGAATAATCGCCTCGAAATAGGGTTTAGGGTTTGTGGATCATGGAAGGCGCGATGCTGCATTCGTCCTATTTCTCCGTGAATGCCAGGCCGATGAGCAGGCGCAGCAGCACCATTTCGGCAGTGATGGCGCCGCCGCAGCAGCAGCGACCCCCTGCTTCCACTGGAGCGGTAAGTTTTTCCCCGCATTCGAGCTACAGTTTGTGGATTTCGTCCTGGATTTTCTCTCAGGTGAAGCACGCAATGACACTGACTGAGAAAATTCTCGCTCGCGCCTCCGAGAAGACAAAATTGGTGCCTGGGGAGAATGTGTGGGTCAATGCCGATGTTCTCATGACACACGATGTTTGCGGGCCTGGGACCATTGGGATTTTCAAGAAGGAATTCGGTGCTAACGCTAAAGTACGTATGCTACACATTTTTCTCTTTTCTAGATCTGTGCCCTCAGGTTTGGGATCGCGAGAAGATTGTGATCATCCCCGATCACTACATCTTTACTGCGGACGAGCGCGCTAATCGAAATGTGGATATTTTGCGGGACTTTTCAAAAGAGCAAAGTATCAAGTATTTTTACGATATCACTGACAGGGGTGACTTTCGGGTACGTTTGCGGTGTTTGTATGTGATTCTGTCGCTCTAACCCGGATTTGATGCAGGCAAATCCCGACTACAAGGGTGTTTGCCACGTTGCTCTTGCTCAAGAAGGTCACTGCCGTCCGGGCGAGGTGAGTCTGATCTTTGATGTCTTGTATTGCGTGAGAGATGGTTCAGTTGTTGTCTCTAGGTTCTTTTTGGAACTGACTCGCATACTTGCACCGCTGGAGCGTTTGGACAATTCGCTACTGGAATAGGAAACACCGATGCTGGTTTCATCATGGGAACTGGAAAAATTTTACTAAAGGCAAGTAGGCGCTTTTTGCATCTTTGTTTCTTCTTACAAGCTTCGCTACTGTCTAGGTGCCCGGAACATTGAGATTTGTTCTTGATGGAGAAATGCCGTCATATTTGCTGGCCAAGGATTTGATACTGCAGGTGTGTTTCGATTTTTAGCAAGAGCTGGCTCCCTGTACTTGAAGTACTTATATGCGCGTTGAGGCACACAGATCATTGGAGAGATCACTGTTTCCGGTGCAACATACAAATCAATGGAGTTTGTTGGAACAGCTGTAGAACGTATGACGGTCAGTATTTTTTTCCCCTTACCTCATCGAGATTGTCCACCTGATTTCGAGATCGGAACTCACGCAGATGGAGGACAGAATGACGTTGTGCAATATGGCGATTGAAGCTGGAGGCAAAAATGGCGTTGTGCCTGCGGATGAAGTCACCTATAGTTATCTGAAGGTAAGTTTTAGTTTATTTGTTCGAGGAGACGACCTGTCTTGATTCTTCAGGGCAAAACAGACAAGGAGTTCGAATCCGTGTATAGTGACGCTGGCGCGACGTAAGCATTGAACGCTATGCCTTGCGTCATGTTGATACTTTTGCAGGTTTATACAGGAGTATAGAATTGATGTATCCAAGCTTGAACCAGTTGTTGCGAAGGTAACTGTAATTGTCTTGACCACTTGCACTTGGTCTGTTTATAATTTTTTTGTGTGTGTGCAGCCGCATTCTCCGGATAAACGAGCGTTAGCCAGGGACTGCAAAGATGTGAAGATCGACCGAGTGTACATTGGCTCCTGCACGGGAGGCAAGACGGAAGACTTTGTAGCTGCAGCCAAGCTCCTCAACAAAG